TCAATAATAGTGGGGGGTGAGGATATAGGACGCAACAGAATGAATAAGAGATACTGGTAATGGATAAAGGAAATGGTGGGTGTGAATAAGTCGGAGATGAAGGGGAAGAGCAACATGGGGAGGAGGGAGTGAAGCTGCCGGACAATCACGCTGCACAGATGGTTTCTTAGGTGAAAAGGTCTTACCATGCAGAGTCCACCGAAATCGTATTGACTACTTCACTGGGCAGTCTGTTCCTGTTGTTCACCACCCTTATGGCAAATGATTGCTATTTTTAGATTTTATTAAACACATTTGTGTAATGAACAGCAGACGGGGTGAACCCCATAGTCACGAAGACCTGTCGCTCCGTTATGGAAACCGGTAACCTACGCCCCGGGACTTGGAGTGGCGAACCACATAAGGCCCCGCTAGGTTATGCGGGTGGATACCCTGACCTCAGCTGACTTGAGATCATTTCCCCTAAAAGTTGAGTTCTCGCTGGGAGGTAGTAGTGATCTCCCTTCTTCCCCGACGTCGTGTAAAACCTTTAGGAGTTTGAACATCTCAATCAGGTCCACGTCCTTCTTCTTCCCGCCAGGGAGAAAAGCTCCAGGCTCTGCATCCCGTCGTCATATCTAAGGTTCCTTATTCCTGGAAACCATTTACTGAAGTACCGCTGCGCCCTCTCCAGTACTTTTATATCCCCAACTAGACATGGGCTCCAGGCCTGGACACTACTCCAGGTGGGGACGCATGAAGGCTTTGTACAGTGAAAGTACAACCTCCGGCCTTCTGGAGCTCACTGCTCCCTTCAGTTGATAGATAACTATTAGTGTCTTTCTGGCCGCTTGTCGGCACTGTCCACTTGGTTTGAAGTCAACCTGGACCTTAATACAAAGGTCCTTGGCCTCCCTCGTTACGTCGAGTTCTCCCTCAGTGCCTAATGGGCCGAGATGTTTACCCTGCCCCTCGTCCTGTTGATCAATGAGTCTTCGCAATCGCTGATATTTAGCGGGAAATCCCATTGCACAGACCATTCATAGATTTTGTTTAGATCCCTCTGGATGGCCTCAGAGTCGAGGTTGCCTAACAGCTTTACACAATCAGCGTCCAGCACACATGGGTTCGCCAAGCCCTCCCTTGTATGCGTTCCTCTGTCCGTAACGGGAAGTGCTGGCGCAACCCCGGGTCCGTATCAACTCTCAGGAGCTTCCTCAAACTGATGAGATCTCTCCTGAGACGCTGATGCGCAAACTGGGAACAGACCAGTAGCGTGCAGACGACCTTCATAGCTGGTCCCGCGTAGTCCAACAACGGGTCTAGTGGCGGCACGTTGTACACGCTCCGACTTAGCCAGTTCACCGGCCGTGTAGGGATATGTCGTCACACTACCATTCTGAAGTCTTGGTCTGACGTGGGAAGCGTACAGCAGTCTGAAAGCGCCCATCGTGAGTCGGATGAGGGATCCCTTAATAGGTCCCAGAATGCTCCACGCACTAGCACAGACCCTATCGGTATTTTCTCGGGTCTTTGGTGCTGGCGTCACCATAACACCCAGGTCTCTTTCGCACGATATTCTGCGCAATGTGGTTCCCTGGAAGTTGTAGACTACGTCTGATTCAGTACGTCTCAGGTGCAGGTGAGCATACCTCGTGGTGTTGACTGGAAGTGCCCAGGAGTCCGCCCATTGAGCCAGGTTGTTCAGATCCGCTTGAGTTCAGTTCAGTTTGTACAACCATTAACCATGCACTATCATGTGCCGGGTTTGGTTCATCATCATCATCGTGCATCGAGATACAGTGAAGCAAACTTCACTAATCGCTGCCAAGCTCACAATGTACACAAATCAAGTGATAAAGCACAAGATGGAGGTATTAGGCCTACTTGGAGGGAGGTGAAGAAAAAGAACCTCCATGTTCAACACATAGAGTACACAATCTAAACGACCATACATACCTTTTCAAACACTCTGATTAGATAAAAATGACAACAAGAACGCCACTGTTGTCGGTTAGTCGCAATATCCTTCAATGTCTCCAGTCAGCCAGTCGCAGTCTTTCGGACCCCAACCTGGAAGACGGGAGACACCGGTTCTAATCGCTCTGTGCATTTCTTCATACCTCGCCTCCACGCGGTTTCTTCCAAACTGGAGCCGCAACTGCGAATAGGGCGCCGTGTGGCAGACGATGGCTGGGCATGCTCAATACGTGTCCTAACCAGCGAAGCCGACTGACCTGAATTCGATGGGACAACGAATTCTCTATCGAATCATAACCAAATACGCGACGACTTACCTCAGAGTAGCTTACAAACTCGTTCCATCCAACCCACGCCAAACTATGTGAACATCTACAGTTCAATACCTCAAGACGACAAATACCTTCCACTCGCAAATCAGGGTGTCACGACCATAGAGCAGAAATGACCGCACACTGGCGCAGTATACGCCACCTTTCAGTTTCCACGAAACATCGCGTCTGTACCAAAGGTGTTTCAATCCTGCGTAGGCTGCTCGAGCCTTGGAAATGCGGACGGTTACTTCATTGACCATGCTACCGTCATTTGAAACGCAGCCACCTAAGTAGGTGAAACATTCCACTACAGCTAATTCTTGACCATCAAGAATCAGCGCTGGCGTAGACGACACCCAGTCTTGTAGCATCACCTTGCACTCCGAAGGCGCAAAGCGCATGCCCAAAGGAGTTATAGGACTTAAAAGTCTGTCAAGAGCGCATTGCGCATCCTACATAGATTCGAACAGGCATACGATATCATCGGTGTACTCTAAATTGCACAGCATTTCTCCAGTTGCCCATTCAACACCTACGTTTTAGAGACCACTAAGTGCGTTCTCCAGTACTTCGACTACGACGAAATTGAACAGGAATGGCGAAATAGGGCACCCTTGACAGACACCGCTCCTGGTTTCGAACGACTTACTTACCCCTTTACGCTACCAGAAGTGTGCAGGTGCAACGAGCGCAATAGATTTACATACTTTCGCGGCATTCCTTTGCGGAGCAGCGACCCCAGAAGAGCTCCACGGTCAACTGAATCGAAGGCTCCTATTAGGTCAAGGAACACTGCGATTGTTGGCCGACGATGTGTGTGACGCAGTTCGAGGACTTGACGCAGAGTGAAGATTTGGTCGATGCACCCGCGACCTGGGTGGAATCCGGCTTGTTGTTCGCGGATATTCCTCTCTCTTAAGGATGTCAGGTGACCCGGTATCACAGGATTCAACACTTTTGTGATTATCGGAACCAAACCAATCCAGCGGTGGTTAGCGCAGTCGTTGCGTGATCCCTTCTTGAAGATCGGGACAATCAACGATTCACTCCAGGACAAAGGGATAAGCTCCTTCGTCCGAATGCTGCGAAGAAAGGTGGTAATTGAGTCGACAAGAGAATCACCGCCCACCTTGAAAAGAATAGGAAGAAGCTCATCAGGTCCCGCAGCCTTCTCTTTCTTTAATGATTGAGTGCAGCTTAGTACTTCCGATTCTGATGGGGGCTCGCATGTTACCACCCACGGAGTTTCCGCCACAACTGCTGGAATGACCACATTAGCACTAAGCCAATTGAACTGTTCACTAAAATACTCTGCCCAGCGATCAAGTCGTCGTTATTGTGGATGCTTTGTCCACTTTTATCGCAAATGGTCCCACTGACCGGTATGCGACGACCTCCGGTGTTGTGTATCAGAAGAAATAGTCTTTGACTATTCCCTAATGCAGAAGCTACCTCCATTTCACTAGCTATTTTGGCCCACCAATCTTTCTTAAGGCTTTTTTGAGTTGACGTTGCAGGCGATATCAGTCCTTATGCTGATCCTGGCAGATTATAATCTTTCGCTTTTGATTCATTAGGATTACTGACTCCTGAGAGATCCAATGCCTTCGGTGAGCTTCGAGATCGGTCCCACAAGCGAAGTTTGCTGCTGAGTGCACCGCAAGTCTAATCTGAGTCGACTGTTGGTCTACTCCACCATGTCGCGGTTCTCCTAGCTCCTGTCCCAGGTTCTCTTCATAACGTACGCAGACAGCTGGATCGCGCAGACGATGGTGAGCTAATTAGGGAGGCGATTTCTGCCTATGACCAATGAGTCAAAGAGTGACGCGTAACAGAACTAGTGCATAGTCCGACTCCACGCAGGTGGTCCAATAGAATCTGCAATTTTGTACCGAACCATGCCAACGGTAGCTTACAACTGCGGTCAATTTGGGTTAATTTTCTCGTTGAACTAGAACACCATGTAGCCGTTCGACGAGAGCTGTGTAGAAAGTTGTTGCTGGATAAGAACAGCCGGTGATCCGAGCAGAACTGAAGTAGTCGATCACCGTTGTCTGTTCGCTGGGCGGGGAAGGCGAAGTGCCCTTCTAGACAGGCTTCGGATGACCTCACCAACCTGCGCGTTAAAATCACCTGCCAGCACTATATTACAGTTGCGGCTCAACCGAGTCAGTTCGGCGAGTTTGTCGTAAAATTTGTCCTTTTGTGAAGCGGGACTGCAGTTGGTTGGTGTATACGGGGAAATTATGAAAAAACATTTTTTGGGGTTCAAGTCAAGTCAGTAGTGCTACCATTCCGAACACTAACTAAACCATGTAGCCTCACTGCGCACAGACGACTATTGACGGGTATCCAATCTACCATAGAGGCTTCAGCTTTATCGTTTAGTACGATATCTACACCACGCTAACCCAGTGAGCGGGCTTCGTCGTCTCCTGATGTGCGAAGGAAATATCCCGAGGACAGACCCGGCGCACTCAGGTGCCTTATAATACTACGATCCTGAATCGTCTCCGACAGGCAACAGACCTCAATTTCTAGAGACTGCATTGTATGCGCAAGACACGCCTGTTGACCCGCCTGTATAAGAGTTCTCACGTTGAAAGCCCCAAATTGAGAAGTTGACGAGGTTTCAGAATCTGCACATTATTTACAGGAAAACTAGTCACAGTGCTATTTGGCAACGACCTTTGGCGAGTGACGATCAAGTTTCATGAGGGAATATTACGGATCGGAAGGAGTGAAGGGCGAGGGTTGGGTACGGAGGATAGAGTTGAACAAAAGTTGGGACATCTGAGTCTGGTTGCTGTCCTTTGGCTGTC